CGCGGGTGCCATTATCGTGGAGGAAGTTGTTGAATCCGTATCAGTGTGTTTATCAGGGTTGTCGGGAATTTCACTGCCGAGCGGGTGTTGGCGTTGAAGTTCCTCGCTTGATGGCGGATCAGGGCTCTTCGCTAGATGTGGCGGAGGCTTGGATTGTCGGCGTGTTGTGATCTCCGCTGGCGGTGTATCCTTATTAGGGGGTAGCAGGGTATCCATGTGGGCAATGAAGGCCTTACTGTATTGGTGTCTTTCCAGGGGAGATTTAGGTGTGGTGTTGCCAGCTGGTGCTTTACGGAAATGATTGTAATGGATCAACTCTGTAAGTGTTTCTCCTAAGGCGACGATTTTGTCGGAGTCTGAGAGTGCTGTAGTGTGGATTACATTGATATGCGATGAGTATTGTATCTTTGTTGGTGGATACTTTGGTTTGAAGGGGAAAAGGGCTTCATCGTATATGGTTGGGTTTGATTGTTTAGGGAAGATAAGTTGTAGGGCTCTTAGTTCCCTTTGGATGTTTCCATCGTATCCAGACAATTGGAGGTGTGGGCTCGTTAATGTCCGCTGTGGGGTTCTTACCAGGTATCGTCCTATTGGGGAGTTGGTGCCCTGCTTCCTGCGGGCACCTGGTGGTTTAGTACTAGGCTTCTTCCGTGCCATGGTAGGTAATGATTGTGGCGGTGACGATCTTCGTGTCCATGCAAAGATCGTGTATGTTGTTGAGGCTTCCGGTGTGTTGACACCAGGGTTCTGAGTTCTGAGAGTGAGTACCGTATGATTGTACGTGATTTAGTACTGGTTCTCTTCCGGAGTTTTCTGAAAAATTCTGGTGGAAAATACCCTCGGCGTAAAGCCAGTTTCTGTTCGATTGGTTCTAGTTCGAGGGGTCGTGAGTAGTAAATCAGACTACTCTGTTTGACTTTGTGGAGTCGGGGGTTGATGATGAGCTGAGGTAAGTCTGTTGTTGCTCATAACCTGCAAAATGTACGTGTGCTCTTTAGTGCCGTATAACTACGTGTTTACAATAAAGAGTGAGCTTATTCACTATCTACTCGTGATTTAGGCTCACAGTTGGTTCATTTCTTCATTTTTGCGTCTGACAAAAGAGCAGTTTCGAGAGTTCGTACTTGCGGCATGATATTTAATACGCACGTACAACTTAGTAGTACCGGTACGTACCGGACGGTAGGTATCTTTTTGTTCGTTGGCTTCTACCGAAAATGCTTCGGCGCGTGCCCACATTCAAAATCCTTTCAGGAAGCATGTGCTACCGTACGGTAGATCGGGACCCATTGGTCGTGAAACCACATCCACGTGCCGTCTCAACGAGCAAAGGGGAACCGAAGAGAGTGGGACGGGCCGTGGGTCCGTTCTGTTCTCCATCGAACGAAACACCCGCAACCGAAGAACGATTTTGGCGGCCCGTCCGTGGCGTTCGTTTTAGTGTGTGTTGTCTTGTGTTGTCTTGTGTTGTCTTGTCTTGTCTTTTCCGATTGGTGTCGTGTGGATTGTCGATGCGGTGCCGTGTCCCCGCTTCGAACGAGCACGGTGGGGCGCCGCGGAATTCCCCATTCGTTGCTTGCGACTGAGAGAAGTTTCGTCCCGGGAACCATGGCCACAGCAATCGGCAACGCGTCGCATAACATCGCATCGCATCGCATCACTTCGCGTCGTTCTCGCCCTTTACGTCCTCCAGAGAAATCAGAACAAAACCCTCTTCCGATCCGGTTGCCGATCGACATTCCCTCGGCTGTGTCTGATCGGTGGAATTTCTTCCGGTGCCGATTCCACCCGCACAGCCGAGACCACAACAAAAGAGAACAAAACAAACGCAACCGAACGATGAACCGAAGGCCAAGCTCCGTCGCTGCTGGAAACGACAGCCAAACCGCCGGCAGAACGCGAGCTGCCGTGCATCTTGGGCACAACGGAAGGAACGCCGTGGTCCGACTGTACTGGTGCTGCTTGGCGCTCTGCGGCGCATCGGTTCTGTTGTACCACCAGGCACCGGTGGTTCCGAGGGACTCGGGCGACGAGCCCCGGCTCCGGACGATGCCGCGGGCCCGGCCCGGCCAGAACCACGCTCTCCCGCTGGACGGGCTGCACCAACAACGAAATCGGGACCGAAACCAGCGGSCGTTCAACGGAACCAGCCCCCGGGGGCCGCTGACCCCCTGCCCCGAAAATTCCCGCAGGCTGGTATGGTTCCTAAAGGGGCCCACGCACAAGCTGTACGAGCCCGTCTACCGGGCCTTCCACTCGAGGGGCTGGTCGGTCACGAGGGACCCCTCCAGGGCCCACGTCTTGTGGACGAACCAGCCTCCACCGCCCGGGCCGGCCTCCCTMCCGGGGGGGATCCCCCCGAAGCCGTGGCAGMGGTACAACCAGCTGGCCCACACGCACCTGTGGGACGACAAGGATTCCCTGGCCGCAACCATGAAGCGCTACTTTGGAAACGACCGGACCGGGGACCCCGAGGCGAGGAGGGGRCACGCCTTTCCGGAATCCTACCTCTTGCACACGCCCGGCGGCCGCGAGGCCTTTCGCCAGCGGCTCCGGGAAGAACACGGCGGCCTCGACCTTCCGTGGGTCCTGAAGGACCCCACCGTCAACGAGGGAAAGGGGGTGACCGTTCTGGCACCCCGCTCTCCGGAACTGGAAGGCCTGGTGGCCCGCCTCGAGCGAGAGGCAGAGCCGGCGAGCGGGGGCACTCCGAACGTTGACGGAGGGGGGGRAGAAAGCGACCGCCTGCTGGTGCAGAAATACATCTGCGACGAAATGACCTACGGGGACCGAAAGTTCGACGTCCGCGTCTTCTGGATGGTGGCCTCGGTAGACCCGCTCATTGTGTTCTACCACACCCAGCAGAACTACGTCCGGATCGGACACGCGGTCTACGACGAATCCAATTTCAGCAATTCCACCAGGGCCCACCTGACCACCCACACCTTTGGCTCGGCAGAGACCAAGGCCACCTGGGACGAATTCCGGGAGCTCGTCGAACGCCACGTTCTCGACCCGGGTTCGAGATTCCTCGGTCGGTTCGATGCGGGCAGCAGCAGCRACAACAACGRCGACAGCGAAAGRGCCCTRCTCCTGCCCACCATCGAGGCCATACGCAGGGATCCCTTCGGGCACGTCCAGAAMCAGATGAAAACGATCCTTGCCCACCTGGTGGATGCCTTTCGGAAYACCACCTTTCACGGGCAATCCACAGCCACCGAAAACGGGTTTTCCTGGCACGCCGCCGACATGATCATCGACAACAACCTCGACGTGTACATCATCGAGGGGACGGACGGGCCCGGGAAAGACGAGGACTACGACTTTCGCATCAAAATGCACGAAGAATTGCTAGGAAGCATGGTGGACATTCTGGAGGAAGTCGTGGACCGGCAGGAAGAAGGCCGGCCCCTGGACGTTGCCGAGATGAAAGAAAAAGGGATTCTCGGCGGGTACGAGGTGATCTACGACGATGGCCGGGCCTTCGACTACCGGYACACGCGGCTGCCCCACCCGGGGTGCGGACGCTCGCGGGAGAGGCCACCAAACCGGAAGGGAGGAGGGGGTGCGGCAACGCCGGCTCCCCCGACGCGAACCGTGGCACCGGCAACTTTCAGGGCGCTCGCAGAGACGAACCACATGGCAATCCCCCGGACCTTTTGGATGAAGAGCCGGACGAGGCGGCGGTGCGAACCCGCGGCACGGGCCCTTCGGAGAAACGGCTGGACCCCGGTGGACCGTCCCGAGGAAGCCCAGCTGGTCTACCTCTCGGGCGGCGACGACCTGGTCCTCCCGGGCAAGGAGCTCCCGTACGAGCCGGCAAGGTGGCAGCTCGTCAACGAGTTCCCGTCGCAGCACGAGTTTTTCGAGCGCGAGTACCTGAAGCACCTCGACGCGAGCACCGTGCTCTCCTACAAGGACAGCCGCGAACACGACGACGGCGGTGCGTGCCGGCCTGTTGTGCACCGGGGACGGCCGATCCGGGTCCACGCGTACTGGCTGGTTCTGTCCCTCAGCCCGCTGACCGTTCTGTACCGCGATGGGTACGTCGGCATGGACTACTCGGACCGCCACGAGGACGAGTTCCTCGCCCCGCAACCGAGGGGCCTAGACGGAARGGTCGAGGGGAAACGCGTTTGGGAGGGCTCGTGGACCGCCTTGGAGCACTACATCCACAAGGCCCGTGGGCTCSTCGTACCTCCCCCGCAGGGCGCAGYCCAAAACAGGAGTCCGTGGAAGAACGGGGCCGCGACGGTGGCGGTAGAAATTCGGTCGGACCCCGTCCTCCACGTGAAGAACCAGATGAAGCGGGCCCTGGTTTCCATCGCCGAGGGCTTTCGCGACCACGCCCGTGGGGAGAAGCCCGCGGGCTACAGGCCCTTTGCCCTGTTTCACGCCGACTTTGAGGTCGATCGCGACCTCAACGTCTTTTTCAGAGACGCGTACCATTCCTACGTGAGAGGCGAAGACCATTCCGAGGTGGTGGACCTGCACGCCGACCTGTACGGTTCGGCATTCCGAATGCTGGAACACCTCAACGCCACTTCGAACGGGACTTTGGATCTCCYGGGGGGAAAATCGMTGGGAAACTACGAATGGTTGATCCGCCCAAGCGGATTGCGGGACGGGCTCTCCCGTGCCGAGGCGGCCACGGGTGGGGTTGCAACGGAAGACAACCCCCGCGACCATGATGGCCTCTCGAAATTTACCTACGATTGGAACCAAAAGGCCAGAGAATGCTTCGCGTAGCAGGTTTCGAGGTCGCCCTGAAAAGATAGTCATGGGTGGACGCCCATTTCCGAAACTGGAAGAGTGCTGTTCGAATTCCTGGGAGATTCCGAGGCGTGCGTTTGGATACGAGAGCAAATCGTTTTTGCAAGAATTGCGGAGCGCATGATTGTTGTAAAATAGCTTTTTCCTATAGATTATGAAAACCGTGTCAATTATTCAAATCTTTTGGTTGGAATTTCTACTTTGCCATCTGTTCTGACACCTTTTTGGTCTGACACATCGGTTTATTGTTCGCGAAATACTGTATGAAGTAGTTCGTTACTTTGGAACGAAGGAAAATCAGCATATATTCGCCATCACTGTGTATTCCATTAGAGGATGCTATCTTCCCCGATCTGTTCAATGAATCCTCCCCATCGTTCATCGTTTGGGCTCTCTTTTTTCTTGACAACAGACAGTGTGATCAGGGGCGTTTTGTCGTATCCGTCTTGGATTTGGTACGTGGCAGATTCCGGTACGCATTTCCCTTTCAGAATGCAACTCCAAACGGCGAATCCAAATACAGAGATAGTGCAACTCGTTTCGGAAACGGCCACGCTCATGGCAGCTACGGGTTGCCCACGCAATCCCTCGATCGACAGAGTGACCGCCAGGGCATCGGAGGATTCCTCCCACAAGCATCCCTCGTCGTTCACGCTTTCGATCCGCGATGTGCTTTCGTAGCCACTCGTCATGACCTTAAAGTCACCGAAAAGTTCGCTCGGGATTGGTTTTTCCAGGTCTTCCATYGTCAAACCGAGATCACTCACGTCGATGCTCGTCGCGGGGGYGTTGTCATCGGCGCTGCTCCTGTGGGCGGTGTTGGTCTGAATGTTGCCGTGCTTCGAGACAGGAGCCACAAAGGCAATGATCGAGCCGAACTGGAGCGACGAAATTAGGATTGCGAAAAAAAAATTCATCGGCGACTGCTCTTTATTTTTCTATGGGATTTTATTGAAACTCTTTTTCAACAACAATCGTGGGTCGTCTGCTAAACTAAACACAACAGACAAGATGATAGTTGTGATTGTTGATCGGCCTGTTTCTGAATGTTGAAACTACTGTAGAGCACGGCCTCTCTATCACGAAACACGTAAGGGTCATACCGTGCGGGGCGGGAGTAGTACAAGGACACTAGTACTGTACGTRCTCATTAGTACTCATACATGCGGTCGGGATTTCTGTCTCGGGTTTTGATGAAAGCTGACTGAGTCACACTCCAAATCGTCGAGTTGCTCGATTTTTTGTCTTGGGTAATCTCGTACCGGTACGGGTTTAACAACGGTTCTGTCTGTAAGGCGTGGGGACCCTACAAGGTTCTACAAAGAAAAAATTATTAAACGCAACCTGCTCTCACCAAACAAATCCACCTCAACATGACCATGGTGGCGGGAATGACAATATCTCCACAACCAAAGCATTCTAAGAAAAACCAAGGGTACCGATGTGAAGCACTCACTCTTCTTAGCACAGTACTTCCTACCCCAAGCACTGCCAGCAGTAACCATTCAAACAATTCACCCTACTACTACTACTACTAAACCTTTGTGGGAGTGACTGGTATGATCCTAGTAGTACTACTAATACTACTAGTAGTGATGTAAAATGTATGCTAGAAGAAAAGTGAGTCGATGCTCTTATCGAGGATCCACAAACTAGTATGAAACCTAGAATTGATCAGTGTGAGGATCGAGTGATGTGTGAATCAAATGAGTCGAGTCACCACTCGCGCAAGTTAATGAAATGAGTCATCTCGATCGTATGGATGATCAATGTGTGACGTGATTGTGTGAGGATTCATATATGTATGGTGTGTATGAATCGTATATACTTGTCATATGTATGTGTTGTATATATGAGACATATCCACAGTCTGATATCCTACGGACAGCAACCTTCTTACATTCCTCCTCCTGACGAGGAGGCATTGCGACTACTGGGCCACGGGAATAATAACTGTTATCACTAAGCAATAGGTCCGGCAAAAGAAGAGGTTTGATAATATGGGTGATAATTTATTCAGATAGATAAAACATGCATGGTTACTACCTATTTCCTAAAACACATTCCTAATAATTTGTGCTTCCTTTTGCGAATTGAAAATGAATCATGATAGTAGTAAAAAATACAACAATGCTTGTTGGTTCAAAATGAGAAACAAAGAAGGTTGTGACTCAACAACAAATATAAGTGGGTGGGACCCCTAATGACTGGGATTTGTAGTTGGAAAAATAAAAACACGATCAAAAAATAGATTTGGAAAGAGAGGGAACTGCAAGATGCAGACAAACAAGAAAAAGAAGTGGTGCACTATTTGTGGAAGATGAAAAAATAAACTTGTTGTGTGTAAAGAAGGTTGGTTCAGATTCAAACCTTGTGCTGAAAAAAATAATAAACCAAAAGGGTACTACTTGCTTGTGCGATGCAAGCTCAATGTGTACTTTGACCATAAAAATTGGGTTGTGATAGGGCGTGCAATTACTTTTTGTTACGTCTTTAACAATATTGGGAATGACCCATTAGTATTGCTACACTACTTACTTTGTAATTACTAAAAGTAACACCCTGTCCTCTGATTTTRGTGGCACATGCTGTCCCTATCTAAAAGAAATTCCAGGCTTTTTCTTTTTAGAAAGGGATAAAGGAATCTTCCTATAGTAGCAAAATTCAGCAACTCACTTGCTGAGGAGGAGGACGAGAGGAGGAGAGGGGTGCGAGTTGTGTAATCCAATGCTTGCAAGGTTGAGAAGAGTGGAGGAGACCATGTGTTTCTGTTTTGTTGCTGCTTTTGGGGGCACTATGATCCTCCTTGTCCTCCTCCAGAAGACCACTGTCATGTTTCCTTTGGTGAAAACACCAGCTAGTACCACTGTGCCTGGGACCCTCTACTGTTGGAATCTCATTCTAGTAGTTTGGCTAGTAGTACAAGGATTCCTAGATGATACTCTTCTGATTGCAGGTCCTTTTTGGAGACTAATAATTCTGATATTGAAGTTAGTAGTTGCTCAGCTGGTTCTTCATGAAGAGCAAGGTATCCACCACCACAATATTTTCCTCATAGTAAAAATTGTACCTTTTAGGTCAGTACCCTCAATATTCATGGGGGTGCAGTTTCTGGCAAGGAAGAAGTCTGCAAACTAGTAATTCTAGCTCATTTTTTGCATATACTGTGGTCCCTACTGTAGTGAGTACTGGTGTGTTCTGGGAGTAGCAAAAAATAGAGTACTGGAAGAGTGCTGGAATTTGCACTTGAAAATAGATACTAATTGTAGTAGGTACAAACATACATATGATACAATTGGATACAGATTTTACACTGTACCATATGTACAGTACCATCTGGTGGTACCAGAGTACCACTGATAATTTTGTCTGTTGAGCCAGTTTCAAACCCTCATTTTTTCCGATTATTTTGGTCTCCAACACGTGCTTGACTGTGCAAAAATTGGATTACTAGTACCGTAATGAAGCTGGGATAAAGATTTTAGAATATCATTATTTACTACTACTTCCAATTTACCAACTATTACTAGTAGTATGTGTATCTAATTTAAGATGCATATGCAAGATTAGCACCACCATTAAACAGCAACAACTTCTTCAATCTTGACAAATAAATTTTGTCATTCCTCTTGGTGTTGTTCTTGTTGTTCTTCTCCTTCTTCTTCTTGGACCTTGGTGCTTGTTCAGTTGTTGTCTTCATCCTCATCACACCAGCAGTAAGCATCAACGTCGTCTCCACCTTTACAACAAGCTATCTCAATCTCTGCCAAAGCAACCTGCTCCTCAAAACACTCCCAGTGTTGAGATGCAAATAATGGTTTTCCAGCATACTCTGGTGGATTCAAGCAGGAGCACCTTGCTGAGAGGAGTCTAGTAGTACTAGGAGCTTGTTGACTGAAGATACACACTTCTGTCTGATTGGGCTGCTGAAGTGACAGGTTACACAGCAGAAAGATAGATCATGGCTAGTAGCAGCCTTGCAAGGCTTGGGAAATTTTCCTGTTGCACTTCTTTCAACCACTGGAGTGGATCATTGTAACAAACTCTCTTACTATCTTGGATTTCTTGGTGAAGGAAAAGCACTCAGAAGAAATTTTAAGTTCAAGTTTCACACTTACAACAACAAGCATGATCAATATTGACCCCCCTCTTCACCATTCTTACCACAACACCTCCTTGGAGGGAGGAGCCACCCCTTGGAGCAGCTAGGAGCACAATTCTTCTCTCCAAAATTTCTGTTTCTGGCCAACATAGTAGTGCCTCTTCTAGTCCACATGGTTAAATATAATATTAAGATTTTTTGATAGAGTACCAAGAAAAATACATGAATCTTCTTGMACTGAGAAACACTAGTTATTTTTGTTTTCAATCCACCAGCACCTCACTGGAGTACAGTTGAGCTTGACCTCATCCTTACCAGTTTGATTACTGGCAGTAATCTATGTTAAGTCTTGCTGGTCTTGCTGTGCATATGACTGCAAAGAATTTCCTTCTCTCACGTAACATGAGCTTTCCAGAATAAAATTCAGAATATGTACAGCAGAATACACATATGGTGATATGACGAGTAGTGGCTTGCTGATTACTAGTATATCACATCTTCTATATCCAATGCCTGCACACAYTTTACTTTGCATTATGATTTTCCTCATGCTTGTTGAATTCTACTAGTACTAGTACYGATACAATTGTTGTAGTACTATTGCTAGTAGCACTTCTTGTTGTTCTCCTCTCTCTGTCCCATATCTGCCCGCAATGATATTTCTTCTAGCTAGCCATATTATTTTTGTATTACTATTGGTACTAGTAGCAGTACTGGTAGTAGCGTGAGGACTACTACTAGTACTTAGGTGTGTCAGCATAAGGTGTGTCAAATTTTTGCTAGTACTAGTACCGGTAGCTTCGTCTTTTTATCAGCTACTAATGTTATTCTACTAGTAAAAACAACTCAGTACTTCTTGTTTTACTAGTACTTTGTGATGCTGGGGGATGCTCTCCTCTGGGTGCTGGTGCAAAAAACTACTCTGAATTGCGTAGTATCATTACGATTTGTAGTATCCAACATACACAGTCTAGTTGATTTCTGTAATGAGAAGTTGGATAGTTGTTTTAAGTATCATGATGTCAACTTACTTCATATTTTTGATTCACCATAGCAAATATAATTTAATATCAACAGAGCAGAATTCAAGACTGCTGATTTTTGAGCTTTTCTGTGCTCGTTTCTATCCTATACTCCATAAATAGTCGTTGGCTTTGGCTTAATGCTTCCGTCGTTCATCTTCGAGACCTTCATGCTGTAACAACTTCGTGTGCTGAATACGTATTCRATAGTACACTTGGGAAAAGGATCTGAATTCACTTTACAGTATCATYATTTGAGTTGAAAGCGCAAAGAAAGGTGCATCGATTACCTTGGTACACTGTTTCTTCAACATTGGTAGAAATAGGGGTCGGTTCGGTTGGAGCAAGAGATCGAAGCTTTTGGGCCATCCGTGTCGCTTTGCGACGCTTTCGAATGCCCGTTAACAGTTGGGTGATTTTGTGGCGGAGCACGTCATCATCGACAATTTCTGTGTACCATAAATTCTTCTTATCGTATTCCATGTAGACAAAATTTCTCAAACGACCTTCTTCGATGATATAATCATTGTACCTATCGCCCTTGAGGAATCTCTTCGGGTGGAGTTCGCGTTCCAGCTCTTTTTCTTCGATAAGATCTCGAAACTCAATGTTGCCGGGATGATCCCAAGCCATTGCCTTGTTGCCAAAAAGTATGCAATTCACTTCGGGACATTCGACGCCACAAACTTCTTCTATCGATTCTTCATTCTTTCCTTCCAAGCCAGCTGCCTCATTGTCGGTTTTCTTTCGAAAGTTGTCGATTGCAGTCCTAACCTTCGCAAATCGAGCCCAGTTCTTGGTCTTGACCATGAATGTATATGTTCGTGGGATGTCTTTGACATTGATTCCATAGCTAGAAAGTACGTAATCTACTTCAACCGGGGAACCGGTGTGGACCCGACACACTCTTCGCCCCTCCGGTCCAATGAGCATCAGACACAGCGAGCGACAGAGGTTAAATACGGGTGAGTTTGGTATGCAGAAATGTAACGCGGAGTATCTCACCGGTATTGTGGTTATAATTTGGTTCATTTTTTTGGCAGAATTCTTTGCCATGCTTGGTTCTTCGAACGTTGGGAAGACCAAAACTACGGCTCCCTTCACTTGCGTGGTAACATCCTCGGCAAGAATTGTCCACAGCAAAAACACTAAAAGTCGGAAGGCAGAAKAGTATTCTTCGTAGGTACTCGCATCGTGTCTTCCGATAAAGACAAATACCCTTCTCCCGATTCGGTCGCGGGAAGGCAGTACCTGACAATTGCCATCACGAAAGTATTTCAGCTCGAGAGCGGTAAGGTCACTCATGTACAGCTGTCTTCGAAAGATTTTTTCGCCGAAGCATTTGAGCAGTAGATCGAGACACTCGCAATACCGGATGGCGGCTTTTCGGGCATCAAATCGATCAGCTCGAAGAAACTTCAGCCGATATTCTTCGGTGCGTATAAAGTCACTCTTTAACTCGAGGCCTCTTCGATATGCATGATACCTGCGATTGCCTCTGCGTCTGTTGTGGGCTTCATCTTCGTCATTCATCGGTGATATAGAACACGGAGGAACGAGTTCATCAAGAATATTTTGCATGTCACGAAGAGCAAGAGCCGTCATTTCCGGGCATTCTTTTGTGGTCTCGTTCAGGTTTCTGATATTGTTTTCGCTATAACCCCCCCATCGCCCGAATTCAACGCCGTGAAGCTCGTTGATAGCGGCTTCCCGTTCTTCCGGTTTCATTTCGTACATTTCTCGTTCCAATATTTTCTCCATGATATTGGGATCTTCCAGAGCTATATCGAGAGCTTCGTCGGACAAACCTTCCGACGCAGAATATGAAGCAGAGGACACTGTTGTCGACATGGTAGATCGGCGAGTGATCTGCATGTCTTTCTCATTCACAATGTCTTCGCCTTCATCGTTGCTGCTATCGTCCATATTAGGAAACACGTACGTGTCAACTTCAATGTCAGAATAAATCATTTTGTTATCATCAACAATATTGGTGTTCGCACCAGCGTAATTCGTGCTTAGATTAAAAATCTCT